AAATCATAAATACTTGTTTATTTCCTCTTCTTCTACGAGTTTTCTGAGTATTAGAGGCTCCTGTATATGTGTCATTGACTGAGATGACCTCCTGACACCCCTGATGACATCATTTCTGGTACGGTATAAAAGACCGGTTAGATGACTGAAACCTATCAGAAACCCCCAGCTGCTCTGTGTACTGTAGCCCGATCATCATGCGTGAAATTGTACACCTGCAAATTGGACAATGTGGCAACCAGATCGGCTCAAAGGTAATAAAATAAAATCTTAATTCCACTGTTAGAGATATAATGTTTATTAAGTCTGACTTTGTTGAAAATGTTGAGACTATGATATAATATGCTCTCTATCTCCATGGCACACATTAAAACTACATTTTAAGAAGAATCTTAATAACGCACCTGTTGAATAATAAGCTGAAATCAACAGTTTGAAAGAAAATGTATGAATTATTGAGATAAAATGATAAAATGTTAAATATTTAAGTGACATCCAATGTGTGAATTAAAAAAAAAAACACATATATTATTTAACTTTTTTTTAATTTATGATACATATTTTGACATGTACTTTTCCTCTGCATGGTGCCACCCACAGTTGTGAGTGACACAGGGTGTTTCCTGTCAAGCATTCAGGGAAGAGATAAGAGCCAAAGCGGGACTGGCATGGGTGGGACATTTTTTATCATGGCTAACATGAAACAAGAGAGAAGAACTACAAGATAGTACAGCTCAAGGCACACATAATGCTTTTTAAAATTGGAGAACATGGCAGTCTAAGAATCAAGCAGTTACTTCAGTTAATATTATCTTAACTATCTTTAGATTTATTAATTTATATTAATCTGGTCCACATAAGATCATAAATTGCTACATGGCTACTTTTGTGTTTCAACTCAGAGATTAATAATGCATTTTAACATGCACCCATCTGGGAAAGAGTCAAAGTATGCATAGATTTGGCAGAAAATAATAATAATACATCTGCCCAAATGCATTAAAATCTCCACAAATGTCTCATGAGAAAGCAACCATATAAAGACCTGGAGGTGAAAGATATTGGATGAAAATATTGTCTGTGTATTAAAAATCTGAGGAATCTTATTAATAACTAATATAATGTGTGTCTTACAGTAAACACGTTGAGTTCTGTTGACATTACAATGAGGATTTCCTTCTTTGGCTTTGTCTCTCTAGTTTTGGGAAGTGATCAGTGAAGAACATGGGCTCAATGCAACAGGCCTCTACGAGGGAGATAGCAACCTCCAACTGGAGAGGGTCAACGTCTACTTCAATGAGGCACAAGGTAATAAAGAGGCTACTGTGTATAGACCTTAATAACTGCAATTTACTTTCTTATTCAGTTAATTTCATGAGCATAATTACTAATTATTTTTAAATATATATATTATTGTTCAAAGTGAAGGCATATTTAAGTTTCCCATTCCTGGTTATGTTGGTAATACATTTCCATCCTGTTTGCAGGTGGTAAATATGTCCCCAGGGCCCTGCTTGTTGACCTGGAGCCTGGTACAATGGACAGTGTAAGAGGAAGCCGCATCGGGGCTCTTTTTAGGCCAGACAACTTCATCCATGGTGAGACAAATAACAATACTGGGGAATACCTGCCAAGACTGTCAATTTTTACTATTAGGTGGAAAAGGGAAGACGCTCAGTATTTGGTGCTTTGGATACAAATGCCTCCCAACTGGTCTATGAATAAATCCAACATAATAAATCCAACATCCGAATAATGAGATTAATAATGAATAAAAAGATGTAATACGTCACACTAAAAACAAAAACATCACTTGAATTGGAGTTGCAAGTATTTAACCAAAGAAAAGTGGAAACATGTTGTATTATTATTATACTATTGTCAGTCCCATTTATAAAGAAGTGGCACAACATGTTTTACATTTTAACTAGAGTGTGCAGACCTTCGCCTAAGTGTTTTGTTTGTACTGTGAGGTTTGGGGTGGCTTTAATTATGAGGAGTTTGTGCATGCATGACAAATTCAGTTAATTAGTGATTCGGATCCACTCCAGATTTGAATGAGTTCTTCCCAGGCCCCATGCTTCACCCTTTCACCAAGTTTCATGAAAATCGGGCCAGTGGTTTTTCCGTAATCCTGCTGACAGACAAACAAACACCCCTGAATACATAATCTCCTTGGTGGAGGTAATTACTGCAAGAGATGTTCCATGTTTCCCTCCACTAATATCTATTGACAAGTGATAGAATTAGATTAACCTACACCTTTATTTCGGTGTTACAGGCAACTCTGGAGCTGGGAATAACTGGGCGAAGGGCCACTACACAGAGGGGGCAGAGCTGGTGGAGCAGGTGATTGACAGAGTGAGGAATGAGTGTGAAAGCTGTGATTGCCTGCAGGGTTTCCAGCTGGTTCACTCATTGGGGGGCGGCACTGGCTCTGGCATGGGAACCCTCATCATCAACAAGATCCGGGAGGACTATCCCGACCGCATCATGAACAGCTTCAGCATCATGCCTTCCCCTAAAGTCTCTGACACAGTGGTGGAGCCCTACAACGCCACCCTGTCAATCCACCAGCTCCTGGAGAACACAGACGAGACCTTCTGCATCGACAACGAGGCCCTCTACGACATCTGTTTCCGCACGCTTAAACTGACCACACCGACTTACGGGGACCTCAACCACTTGGTCTGCATGACCATGAGCGGGGTCACAACCTCATTGAGATTCCCCGGACAGCTCAACGCAGACCTGAGGAAGCTGGCTGTCAACATGGTGCCTTTCCCACGCCTCCACTTCTTCATGCCGGGCTTTGCCCCCCTGACGGCCCGTGGCAGCCAACAGTACCGAGCCCTCACAGTGCCTGAGCTCACCCAGCAGATGTTTGATGCTCGCAACATGATGACGGCATGCGACCCAAAGCGAGGCCGCTACCTCACAGTTGCTGGCATGTTCCGGGGCAAGATGTCTACTAAAGAGGTAGATGAACAGATGCTGGCAATGCAGCAGAAAAACAGCAACTACTTTGTGGACTGGATCCCCCATAACGTCAAGGTTTCCGTGTGTGACATCCCACCCCGAGGCCTCAAAATGGCAGCCACCTTCATCGGCAATAACACGGCCATTCAGGAGATATTCAGGCGTGTGGGCGAGCAGTTCTCCCTGATGTTCAGACGCAAGGCTTTCCTCCATTGGTATACAGGGGAAGGTATGGATGAAATGGAGTTCAACGAGGCGGAGAGCAACCTCAACGACCTGGTGTCGGAGTACCAGCAGTACCAAGACGCCACTGCTGATCTAGGTTGGGAGGACGAAGAAGAGGCGGGACCCTCGCCTGCAACGACACAAGTGCAGTCTCAAGTGGAAGTTAAACTGAAAACAGTGACGGAAACAAGCGAAGAAACTGTAGATGAGTAGAAGACATGGTAGGTAGGTAGTGTAGGTTTGACATCTTGTTGAGAGGATGCTGAAAACAGATGTTGGATTGTTGGTCTGAAAAGGAACTAATTAATTTATCCCTCTGGTTGATTTAGAGTTTAGACTTTACTTGATAAAAGGTGCTGTGGCATTTAAACAATAGTGCTTATTGTCTTTTATGTATTCTTCAAATGATTTGTAGGCTTGTATACTTTTTACTTCTTCAAGGATTAGTTTTCTTTTATAGTAAATATATGAAAATTATTGAAATTGTGCATGTATATATGCAAAGATGTATTTTATGCTAGAGCTATATAATCCACAGCCATTGTGATGCTAACACTGTTTATGAGTTATTATTATTATTTTCAGACCTAAAGTAAATGTTGAATTGAGTGTTTTATATCTAATTTATGACGGTAATTAAAAACAGTAAAACCAAAGAGTGATTATTTCTAACAACACAATAAAAATACCAAAATATTTTCTCCTTTTTTTATTCCTATAAACTTAAAATGGATTAATTAAACTGAGCTGCAGTGATGGACAGTTCCCTGACAGCACAGTGATAGTGATACCGTTCAAGGCTGCCACACAGTTTCCTGCTGTTATGAGTCTGGGACACGAGATTACACATAACTTGGCCACAGTGTCTGCACTCTGAGATAAGCACACATGTGACGTGGAGATGACCCCGCACTACCGCAACAGTCAACCAGACTCATTTACAGGGATGAAGGAGATCGTACTGCATGTAACCTACATGTGAATATAGGTAATGGTGACAGTATTGCCTTGTAGAGGTCAATCTGCTTAAAGGTATGAGGTGGCAATGAGTTCAAGAAGCCAGCACTCACTCAACAGACAGCTTTCAGTAGACCAGTGGTTCCAAAACGTATCTTAAATTAAGCAATGTCTACTTATCAGCCCCCCTCTCAGGTTGCATAATGTTTTTTGACTGTGACCAGTTTAATCACTCAAAAAAGAAGATTTTTAGAGTCTTGAGTAAGTATATTTTTGTAGAAAAAAGCTCTAATTGGCTTTAAGAAGGTCTGAAAAATAAACATAACTTTATTTAGCAGAAATACGTTTTTTTTTTTCTGCTTTTCCTTCCCTGGGAATAATGTTCAGATTCATGGTCCTGACCTCTACTGCAGTTGATAATGTTCTAAAATGAATAAACAATCAAAGTTGGTTTCTGCAATTTAAAGATTATACTCTCCTCCGGCAGTTAACCGCTGCAGAAAACAAAATATATAAAAAGTCCATCAAATATTGCCCCTAAATATCCAACAAAGACATATTTTAGAGGACTAGCTATGGCATTTGAGTACAGATTTGAGTTTGTGTGTACAGCGCGCCGTCTCTCATTCTTCCAAGGTTGCAGAGAACTTTCAACCTTCACTGAGCTGAATTGTGCAACCTCAAAGGTTGAACGGCTGACACACACATATAGACACACACACACATATATATACACATATATATACCCATATATATGTGGGTTAGATAGCTCAATAAGAAATATACTGCAAACTCTAATGTTAAAGTTAAGAGGCTATATTGATACAGGTTTCTATTTCCATTCATTCATCAATTCCCGAGTTTAAACACATAAGGTTTCTCACTGAGCTGCCTTCAGTGTCAGAGGACTCCTGCGGCATTCACAGTGTCGGAAGTGCGTCACTAATGCCGACCACGTGACTCGCTCTGGTACAGTGGGAGGGGACCTGCGGGTGTCTTTGAACGCAACTCCCCGGCTGCAGTCAGTGTGTCTGTGGACATCCACCGGTTAGCCCACTCCGTGTCTCCCCGGCAACACCGACATCGGTTCACCCAGTTCAAACCATGAAGATCTGGACATCAGAGCACGTATTCAAGTAAGTGGAGTATTTTAAAATAGGTGTTTTTATTTTGTTTTATTTATTCCGGTGATGTGTTTTAGAGGTGCGCTGTGTGGTGTTCAGGTAACCGCCAGTTTCGTGTTTAATATGGTAACGGTATACACAATGCACACTTTATGACGGATACTTACTAAAAGAAAAGCTGCCCAGTTATAACTTTAGTGTTATTAACTAGTAGCAGCAGCTGGTAACGTTACATGGCCACATTTAGTCTTCAGTCGTCAGTTTTTATTTTATTGATAACCACGCTGCAGAAAAGCAAGCACCGACACCAAAACCGCTCATATATTTAAAACGCGACATTTAAAAAAACGCATTAAAAGCTAAATAAAAGACTAAAAGTCAAAAAAAAATCTGTCAAATTGCGTAATGTGTCGGTGAGCGCCCAGCGCGCGACCTTTCCCCTAGATTTTAACGTGCCTGTTGCGTCACTGGATTACGGCGCGCGTTCACGTGTCTCCCTGGCAACCGTCCACCACTACGTTCGACCGCTCTACTCCGGAGACCGTCTTCACTCTCCAGTCTGCTCCTACATCAACATGAGACCCATATTCAAATATTAAACACAATTAATGGCATTTCCTTTCACTTCTGTTTACTCTGCTTGAAGCTCTGGAAAGTTCTGGAGTTGTAGACGGTGATTCCGGTGACTAGAAGCAGGCTGTATTGTTTCAACACGTCAGTTTTTAAGCTTTGATTTAATAATTTAAGTTGGTGCCCTCAGGTCGGTTTATTTAAAGTCACATTAGCGGTGATGAAGGTATTCAAAATCCTCGTAAAAGTAGCACATACAATAGCCTATGCTTTGAAAATACTCCAAGATGAATGTCCTGCATTGAAAATGTTTATGCAAGTAAAAGTATGTATTATTAGCAAAGTGTCCTCGAGTATCAAAAGTAAAGACTGGCCTCCTGTAAGTGGTATGTTATGTTTAACTGGCATTGTACTGTTGTAGTTGGTCAGCGTGGAGCTTATTTTAACTATAGGATAGTTTGATCTTTAATCTAACTATGAGTATTTTGTTTGTGAAGTATCTAATAACTACAACTGATAAATGTAATGGAGTAAAACAAAGTACAAATTCCCCTCTGAAATGTGGTGGAGAAGAGTTGCAAAGTACTATGAAATGTAAAAAAAAAGTACTTCAAAACTGTAAAAGTATAATTCAATCCTAAAGACGTGGGTTTACAAAAGTTGTGTGACTTTTTACTGCAGTGTTATAATAATATTTTCCTATTTTGGCTCTCCTTCAATAGCCATCCTTGGGAGACGGTGACCAAGGCCGCTATGCAGAAGTACCCCAACCCCATGAATCCCGGTGTGATCGGAGTCGATGTTTTGGACCGAGGCGTAGACAAACAGGGACGCCTCCACAGTAAAAGACTGCTCAGCACAGAGTGGGGTCTTCCATCCATCGTGAAATCTGTGAGTTTCAAAACCCAAACTGTGTCAGCATCATGCTCTACAGTCTAGCATTGTTCATCAGAGGTCTTGCTGCAGCAACCTTGTAGTTTAACCACTTTGGTCAAATGTACACATGACTCCGCATGGAAAAACACATGACCTGACGCTCCAGTCTGTGCTCGCGGTCTGGATGCTTGTCTTTGACGTTTAATCAAAGTGGTGTGACTTTATATGTTTAAGTGAACATGACTGACAAGTCACGATCTTCTCATATTGTGGCGATGAAACTGCTTGAAATGACTTCAGACCACAGGACACAGAACAGTAATCCAGTTATAGCCCGAGTAACGCACCGGAGATGGGTTAATGCTTTCCAGCCAGTGAGCGTGACCTTAACCCTCCTAGGCTATTTCTATCCAGGGGTAGCAGCAGCAGACCCGGCTGCTGACTGAACCAGAGTGCGTTCGTGGCGGAGTGCCACGGCTCGTGTTGTACAGGACACGGTAGTGCCATTTCTGTCATGCCTGAGCTGTAACCCCTGACAGCATGTGATGTAACTTTCCGTCTCTGTCGGCACGGTTAAAAGTGGAGGTCACTAGGATACAAAGCAGTGACGGAGGCGGCCTCTGGATTTCTGCTACATGTCATTTGAACTTTTCCCCTGTTTCTGTGACTGTCTGAACTCGGTAATGATAAGACTGGAGAGAGATCATATCCCGCGTCTCAGTCATGTTTCAGCCTGTGTAAACATTGGCCAACCCGCTGCTGTTCTTCACTGCTGACCTTTGCTTAGATGTCTGAGTACAGGGTTGTAGTCGGCGACGACGTCTATGAATAGCCCCTTTTTAATTCCAAGGGCAGTCTCTGACACAGACTGTCCCAGTGATTGATAGCATATTAACGTAGCTCTTAATCAGATTTGTCTTAAAGCGAATCACTCCTGAGCCTCAGTGTATGTGTGTGTAAACTGGATGTATCATGAAGATGCCTTCCTGTCGGTTTATCTCTGTACCTTTTTAATAAGATAAAACAGGACATTAAGGCTTCCATTTGTATTTAACCTCACAGTTATAGACACGTGAATGTGAATTATTATTATTATTATTATTATTATTATTCCATGAAATCTGTGCTTCGGCCTCACGGGAGGTATAGTTGTAAAATGCTAAGATGCTAAAATAATAGCTTTTTTTTATCTTATCTGATAAACGACAAAATAAATGTCAGGACCATCAGATTCAAACAGAATCCATACAATCTTTATTTTTATAAAATTCCTACAAATATTTTAGGTTAAACTACACCTCCCAAGAAACGTATTGTCCCCAAAGGTCTGCCGGTAGAACCTAAATGTGAATTATGTTAAAATGTAATTTTAGATTGAAGCAATAAATGAAAATTTGTGTGAATCCAGTCAAGAAAGTTGTCGTTCATGACATGTTCGGATTTACTGCGTATAATTAAACTAAACTTAGCTGGTGTGTTTTTCACTGAGAACACTGATTAAGTAACTTTTATGTGAAATTGTAACTTGAATTTGAGTAACTTAAATTAAGCCAAAGTCAACAGATGATTTGATTTTTGTATTGATCGGAAACAGGATATGAAGCTTTGTGTGCTTAATGTATTTTGGGGGTGAAATGAATAAGTCTGCACGAGTAAGAATATTGAAGTGACGTCTGCTAGAAAGCAGTTTAGCTGTTCAGTTTGTTTGTATTAAAGTGTGTTTCTATCTTTGTCTTCAGATCATCGGTAACGCACGAACATACACGTATGTTCAGGAGCACTCGCTTGTGGATCCCAAAGACAAGGTTTTCGAACTTCAGTCCACAAATGTGAGTACTAATGACATAACAACCCCTCTGTTGTGGTGATGAGACTTCTCCTCCAGGGATAACCTGTGTATCAAAACATATATTACCATGTAAGGCATCAGCTGAACTGGGTTACGAACCCCGGACATAAAGAATTAAGATTTGTACCAGAACATATTCTTATGAAATCTCTTCATCTGTTTACAAAACATATTCCGTTTTCAGTGTGTCAACCACAAACATCTGTCTGTACACTTAAGTTTAATGTGTTAAACAGTTGGGAATGAAGTCTTGCTTGTTCTACAAGTTGACAGCTCACATTTCAACAATGAACCCTTCTTAATGCTGCGTTTACATGCTCTGACTGCAGGCTGTGACATAAGACATTTCTTAACATTATCTAATTTGTCTCTCTATCTCTCCTCTACAGATCACTTTCACAAACATGGTCTCTGTGGATGAAAAGTTAACATATAAACCACACCCTGAGGATAAAGAGAAGTAAGTTTTTATATAGCAAGGATTTTAAAATATCATGAATATCTGAAATATTCAGGGCTTTTGACCAAGGATATTTTTTAACCCCTTTTCAACTCCAGAACAATACTCACTCAGGAGGCTATCATCTCGGTGAAAGGAGTCAGTCTCAGCAGTTACTTGGAGGGAGTTATGGCGAGCACCATTTCTGCTAATGCTGGCAAGGTAAGAGATCCCTTATGACTGTCTTTCAGGTAGTTAGATAAGATAAGATGTCCCTTTATTGATCCCCCTTAAGAGAAATTCAAGATTGACACAGCAGCATAGGGCAAAGTAGTGACATTAGTATTTTTTGGGTCCTACACTTAAAAAAAACATATGTTAGGACATGCACATATACTGTAAATATGCCCAATTATCAATGTAGCTTATAATATAGCCTTTTTAAAAATATTTTTACTACTTAATGAAACTGTGCTTTAGGCTATTTCAGTGGTTCCCAACCTTTTTTAGGAAGGGAAAATTGAGCATTGTCTACTTGTGGCCCTCAGGTGTGGGAATACATTATGAGCAGTTCAGCCAAAAAGGGACTTATCCATATCCGTGTCAGATTATTTCATTTGATGGATTTTTACAGGCCCCAAAAACTGTGAAAAGTATTTAATATACTTAAAAAAAAAATAAAAAAAAAATGAAATACTAGTTTTTTCTTTGTTACGGCTGAGGTATGCTCAAAACAAGTTCATATGATGTTTGGTCTGTTCTGTTTT